GAGAAATTAAAATTAAACCACAAGGATAAATAAAATTGACAACATTAAATAAATTAACAGTTATTTATTATTGTTATAACATTTAGATTAGATTAGATTACAAGTCTTTAATATCCACAGAACTTTGGTCTAACAAATGCACTTGCCATCACAATACAACTCACAAAACACAAATGGTTCTGTAGAACTACAAATAAATCTGTACTTTATTCTATAAAACATTGAAAGAATATGAGGATGTCATAAATGTAAACGTGGTCATTTGTTTAATAAAGTAATGGCAAATGGTATAAAAGATTTCTTAAAAATAATATATTTTGTGCGGATACTCTTCATCTACCTGAAGGAAAATTTTCACAATTCATTTTCTCTTAAATAAATCCATAATAAATGCTTATTTTAAAAAAGAAGAATCCTATTATTTCCAAACCTGTAACTGGTAGTGAATTTTTGTGCAAACTAGAAAACATTAATGAGCATTTTTGCTTATTTGGCTCAGCGTTCTCTCTGTGACTTTACTGCAGGTCTTTGCATTATTACTTATGCATTCAGCGCTTGAAACTATATTTGTACTGTTCAGGGTTCTGGAACATGCTCTCTGAGGACATCCTCCTCAGCCAGATGTTACGTGTTTACCACGAGTGTTGTGTGATCTTTTGCCAGCAGTTTCTCTCAGTGTATATCTTGTACTCTGAGCAGGACCTCACAGAGTCTCTTCTAACAAGGTCCTAATAGGGATTCGTTTGGCACTCGTTGTTTGCATGCTTACTAGTTCTGCATTGTTTGGAGAGACATTTTATTTTGGAAATAGTAATGTTGAGGAAAGAAGCATGTCATTGCAATTCTGAATTATAGATGGCTCATGGGTAAAGATACAAGTGCAAATCAGTTTCAAACAAGCATAGAAGAGTTTAGTAAAGCCAAAAGGTTTATAACCCACTTTCAACTCAATGTAATTAAGTTGCATTGCTAATTAAAATATATATATATTTAAAGGCACGTTTTGGATGGCTTAAAGATGGTTTTAAATAAAGTACAGTGTATCCGGAAAGTATTCATAGCACTTCACTTTTTCTACATTTGTTTATTAAGTTACAGCCTTATTCCAAAATAAATTAAGTTCATTTAATTCCTCAAAACTACACATAATCGAAACAAAACTTGCCCATAATGACAATGTGAAAAAGTTTTTTTTTTAAATTGTTGCGAATTTATTAAAAATAAGAAACCTGAAGAATCACATGTACATGTCCGAGCCTGAGCACGCTTACATCATCGATGATGCGCTGTTCAGTTTAACAGAGGAGAAGTGCTCTCGCTCAGCACAGTGAAGGTTTCTTTAGTTATATAATTTTAGTCGTTTGGGATGCTGTGACAAGCAGTCAAATATTTTGCCGACCAGATCAGCCACTTATAAACAATCATAAAGTCCTCGTGCTGCAGGAATTAGGAGGTTTGCTGAAGGTGCAGCTGTCGGGCAGTGAGGGGTTTGCATCTTTAATAAATTATGATAGTTTGCGTTCATTGAATAGTAAGAATGACTAATAAATCCATGTCAAAAAGTCCCTTTAAAGTCATGTCTCGTCTTCAGTTTCGGGCTCTGAGCCCAAGTGAACCGTGCTTTGGCACAACTCTCCAATTGGGCTAGGGCCGGCCAACTGAACCACGCCTGAGCCTGATTCAGAGCACTCGCACTTCTCAAATGATCTGGGGAAATGTGCCTGGGCACACAACAGTGTGAGTGTACCCTAAAACCACCATTGGTTTGTGCTAATGATGTAATATAGTCATGGCTTTGGGGCTTCACCTTCTTTGGAATAAAAATATCTGGTTCTGTTCAGTCTGAGTTCAGATTTTTGGGATTTATACAAGAAAAAACAACAACACTGACCCTTTTTACCTGTTTAAAATTTAAATGTCCCTCTGTTTAAGCAATCTGTTGTATAAAATGATACAAAGAAAATGACTGTTCTAAAGTGTTGAATTTCAGAGCTCACCTTGTTTTCTTTGTGTGTATTTTGTTACTCAGAAGGAAGCATGCCAAATATATTTACAGTACATATTCATCTAAATGTCTCTCTCAGCAGTGTGGATGACTGTCGGATGGTTGCTAACAGTATACTTCTTTACTTTTACCCCTATGAAAAAAGAAAACTTTTGTCATGAGTATATATCAAGACCTTAAAGGGACAGTTCAGACAAAAATGAAAATTCTGTCATTGTGAGCAGGGACCCTCTCAAAAATTAAAAGGTTCATCCCAGGTGGTGTCCAATTTAATAAGTTGAAATTTTGTATCAAATTAATTGATTTTGATTTACTAAAAGCTGGACAGTCAGTCCATTTTCTCATTTTCACACATTTCCATTACTTAAACTCTAAACTCATTCTGGTCATACAATTCCACCAGTTCCATCAGACATGGCCTATTAATTTAATAGTTGTGAATTAATTAATAGTTGTGAATTGCAATTATTTGCATTTGTTGCACTTTTATTTATTGGAAGTTAGTAACATTTTTTTTCTTTCGTTTAATTTGTCCTGCTTTATTTTACTATTACGTTATGTTTCTACTCACTTTAGGGACTTGTTTTGAGAATACCTTTTAAACCATTCTCTTTCTTTTTAGACAAAAGTGTTTGAGAATAAACGCCAAGATAGGTGTTTTAACTCAACTCATGGCAGCAATATGGAAAGAAAGTGAAATAATTTCAGCCCTTGTGCTCTGTAAATGAAATGGATTTCTTTTTGTGCGTTTACTGAAATATGTGGTCAACCTTTCTATGACAATAATCAGATATAGACTGCTTTCTGCACTTCTCACAAGCGCCAAACATGTAAATGATCTAATGAATGCACAGCTGGTTAATGGCAGGTAGGGGGCACGAATCCAACCTGATTGGTCAACCAAAACTGAACAAAAACTGCCTGTAATTCTCACTACATGGCAATTCATACATTTTACCTGCCTCCACAATAAGTACTAGCCAACACTTGCATTTGGAGCTTGGCGAGTCTTAATTTTTGGTACTGGTTACAGGTTTCCAACATTCTTCACAATACATCCTTTTGTGTTCATCAAAACAGGTTTGGAACAAGTTGAGGGTGACTAAATGATTACAGAATTTTAATTTTTACCTGAACTATCCCTTTAAGACCTGCATTTTTACTTTTTCAAAAGTTAAGGCTGTCCTGATGGATCAGCAGCCCCTCTGCTTCATTTGCAGTTGGTTCTCTCTGCCTCTGGTCTCTCTGGTTCAAGCAGCACAGTTTGGCCAGTCTCCAGCAATAACACAGCTGTTGAAATGGCTTAGTCGCCGGGGTGATGCGCTCTGCACCCGGCCGGAATGTTTGTGTGCGTTAAGCTGACATTCAAAGCTTTTTGGCACAGTCGCTTGGAGGTGGGGGCCGCTGCAGACACACTGGAGGAGAGAGAGAGGAGAGAGAGGGCTAATGTCTGCCGCTCCGTTCCTTCTGCACCTCCCCCATAAAGCTCAGCCCTCCATGTGCAGGAATTCTCTTTAGTGCTCTCCAGCTTGTTTCATAACACAACAAGGATCTCTTCAGAGAGGTGAAGTGGAACTCACAGGGCTGTGCAAAGCGATCTAAACCACCGGCTCCTTTCTCACCTCCTCCTGCTTACACAAGGCTCCAGAGAATCACACCACATGACTGTAATACTTTGACAATCCCTCATGCAAAGTTGAATGTTTTTTTTTTTTTTTTTTTTTTTTTTTGTGGGTTTGATGTGTTGGCTGGAATTTTTAATGTTAGTCTGTTTGCCTCTGGGTGTCCATAGATTAAATGAGTCCAAGGTTACCTTGAGCTGCTTTTAGCCACACTGCTGACAAACACGTTGTTCATAAGAATAGTTTGGGCTGTCATGAATCTGTCACTTGACGTATCTGCATTTGGCCTTGTTCATAAGCACCGCTGAGCGTCCACTCTTCAGTCAGCAGGCATTCATTTAGTTACCCAGGTGTGATGGTCTTGAAGAAATAGGTCTTAACTCAAAGTAACATTCTGTCATCATAATTTAGTTATCATCGTTTTAAGGCTGTTGTAAATGTCCGAAGATTGTTTTGAAGACACTTGATAATTGTATGAGCTACAGACTTTGGGTAGGCTTTGTGTGTAGTTTCTTGTTTCTGAGTTTTGTGGTTTTTAAAAAGTTTTCAGAATTTCAAATAGAGGGCGAGGCAGTGGCGCAGTTGGTAGTGCTGTTGCCTCACAGCAAAAAGGTCGCTGGGTCGAACCTTGGCTCAGTTGGCGTTTCTATGTGGAGTTTGCATGTTCTCCCTGCCTTCGCGTGGGTTTCCTCCGGGTGCTCTGGTTTCCCCCACAGTCCAAAGACATGCGGTACAGGTGAATTGGGTAGGCTAAATTGTCCGTAGTGTATGAGTAAATTGTAGTAATTGAATAATCACAAATTACGTCAACACTTACAAATTTTGGGTCACTAGTGCCGATTCTAATTCAGGTTTTTTCTTTAATGTATTGTTTATAATAAATAACCTGAGTAACACTGAGACAGCTGATATTATATATAGAAATATAACAACTTCAGGCGTCCCGGCTCACACAGACCTTTCCTGATCTCCAACTTTTCTTCCTGTCTACACAGTCCAATCATAATAAAGTCAAAAACGCCCAAAATAAATCTGATATATATGGCAATTGCACTTTGGTCGTCCCGAGTCTCTGATCCCTTCCCCTTCTTTTTCCAGCTCTGTTGTAATAAATGTCAAAAATAAATCTTCAAAAAAAGAAAAGATATTGAAGACATATTAGATATTGAAAGGTGGTTAATGAGGTTTCAGGTATCTAAAGACCTGAGGAATGTGTTTAGGGGTTGAGAGCAATGGTATTAGCATTGAAGCTTGTAGTATCCTTGTTTTTGTGTACTTGCATAATGGAGCACAGTAAACTACTCTACAGTGCAGCAACGTTTACTGTTTAAAGTGCATTAACTTTAAGACCTGTGTTTTGTGTTGTCCTGTAGCGGATGGAGCTTCGATCACCATTGATGTCAGGCTGGCCTACAGAGACGACAAACTGAGCGAGTGGACACAGATGGCCCATTCCGTAGAGCAACGCAAACTCAGCTGCAATTTCACTGCAGCAAAGGTAAATGATCAACTCCATTCTATGTAATTAGGCACTAAATAGGGTACTAGTGGAATCGATTAAAATCTGGTTGTGGTTTTTTTTTTAAACTTTGAAAACTTCAGTTGCTTTATTTTGAATTTGCAGACTATAGAAAATGAGGGTCGCCTCTATGATTGTGACCTGTTGCCCTTTATGGAGCTTGGCAGTGTGGCCCATAAGTACTATCTTCTCAATGTCCGACTGCCTGTTAATGAACGAAAAAAGGTCAACATCGGGATTGGAGAAATCAACGACATGCGTCTTGTGGTGAGTCTTCAGAGTGTGACTTTGATGAATAACCTTTTAGGATGCATGTCTAAAACGCACAGCTATGTAGTCGGTTTTGTTTGAGCTTTGTTTGCCTGGGAGGATTTTGGCTAGTCTCGTCTTGTTATAATTGGCACACGCTTCAGGACAGGGCAATGGTTATACAAATGTCAGTGGACCAAGGACATCTGGATTGCATCATGACTTAATCTTCGCCTTTGTTTGGATTACTCCTCTTATTTGACTCTTAGCAAACAACGATACCCATCAATTAAGTGTGCTTAATGTGTTTCTCATTGTCACTGTAACTCTTCAGGGCATTCATCAAAATGGTGGCTTCACCAAGGTTTGGTTTGCCATGAAGACGTTCCTCACTCCCAGCGTCCTTATTATTATGATCTGGTACTGGAAGAGAATCACTCAGATGACCAGACCACCTGTCCTGCTGGAAAAGTAAGGCTTTGCTTTGATCACTTGAAATGTAAATGCTGTTTTGTGGTTGTCTGGGTGTTCTGTGTTGTTAGTGGCCAACTTATGCCCCGTTTACACTAGTGCGTTTTAGTTTTAAAACTGCGTTTTAGAATGAAAACGATCCACGTCCACACTAGCGTTTCACCCTGCGTTTCTGAACAGCTCTCAGTCTACACCAAAACGCTGAAAACGCACATCACGTGACCACTCACACACACTCTCTGACATGCGCTGCAGCCCATCTACCCAGACGAGTGTTCATCAAGGATTTCCCGCTGGATCTAACCTCACTATATTTGCTAAACGTAATATTTAATTAATCTTGTTGTCTATATCTAACAACTTGTTCCCGGACTTTGGTCTTTTGAATCTAGTACTTGTTCTCGGGTAACGGGTTTTGGCTGAGCGCAAAGATAAGTTAATAATTAATCTAACCACATACATTGGTTAAGTAATATTAAGTAATTGCTTGCCTTTATTTCCAATAATGTATAAACTTATTGTACATTATACTTTTATAATGGCCATTATTGATTATTAAACTAATATTTAGCAAAAGAGAGGGTATGTTTCATAATTTGTATGAAAATGAAAGGAGGCATTAATGTTAGGCTTCGTTTTGTTATGAATACGCTTACAGTGAAGATGACGCTCCTATATGCAGCACAACGCCTCAACATTTCTGCTGTCTGTTAAGTTGTTAATATCACAATGAAAAAAGCAGTCTCTTCATGTTTTTATTTTATTGTTAAGAAATTGAAACGATGTAGCCAGAATGATGTGAATAAGGTTATAAAGTTCACTGTTCCCTTTGAAGATTTACCTGATATGTTCTCGGGAGTCTGTTTTCCATATCAAACTTGCGAAGTCGGCGAGGCAGTGGCGCAGTAGGTAGTGCTGTCGCCTCACAGCAAGAAGGTCGTGGGGTCGCTGGTTTGAACCTCGGCTCAGTTGGCGTTTCTGTGTGGAGTTTGCATGTTCTCCCTGCCTTCGCGTGGATTTCCTCCGGGTGCTCCGGTTTCCCCCACAGTCCAAAGACATGCGGTACAGGTAAATTGGGTAGGCTAAATTGTCCGTAGTGTATGAGTGTGTGTGTGTGTGTGTGAATGTGTGTGTGTGTGGATGTTTCCCTGAGATGGGTTGCGGCTGGAAGGGCATCCGCTGCGCAAAAAATTTGCTGGATAAGTGGATAAGTTGGTGGTTCATTCCGCTGTGGCGACCCCGGATTAATAAAGGGACTAAGCCGACAAGAAAATGAATGAATGAACTTGCGAAGTCTGAACTTACAAAGAGAGGATGCAGAACTTTAACTGTGTGTAGGCTGCTTAATATTGAAGAAAAGCCCCAACCAGAGAGGCGAATGTCGGCAGCCCCGCTTCCGTTTTCAGATGTCTACCTCTTTAGCATTTCCAAAATGATCTGTTTTCGGCGCTTGAAATCTCCGGCAGAGTGTGGACAAATGGTGTAGCCATAGCAAAACTTATGCTTTTTCAAACTAAAACACATTAGTGTAAACGGGGCCCTAAACATCCCTCAAGTTTTTGCTCTGTAAACACACCTGGTGTTAAATAGGGGTGGGAATCTTTAGGGACTTTACGATTCGATTCCAATTCTGGGGGTCACGATACGATTCCAAAATGATTCTTAAATATTTCTGCTGTCCATTTACAACATTACATTTTAAGCAAAATTAGAGTTTCAATGCTTGTTTAGTAATTGGAATATCTGTACGACAGCACTGGGTTGTCACAATACTGGAATTCGATATCAGTCGTACAGAAATTTTAAAGACTTCCATTCCCCTCTAACATCTGAGCACTGTTGAGCAAGTCATTAAACGGCAATTCTGCACAATGAACACAACCATTGTGTTTACGTGTAAAGAATGTGCCGGCAGCTCTGCTCTCTGCAGGTCGCTGAAGCCAAGTAGGGCTGAGCCCAGTTAGTACCGGGATGGGAGACCACATGGGAAAGCTAGGTTGCTGCCGGAAGTGGTGTTAGTGAGGCCAGCAGGTGGAACCCTATCTGTCCTAATGACCCAGTATAGCCACAGGGACTCCATACTGCTCAGTGAGTGACGTCTTTCGGATGAGCCATCTAACCGTGGTCCTTACTTTCTGTGGTCGGTAAACTTCCCAGGATGTCTGTCGAAAAAGAGAAGGGGTTTAACCTGGCCAAATTTGCCCACCGGGCTCTGTCCATCATTGCCTCCTAACTATCCCTTTATCATAATTGGTTTCATCACTTTGTCTCCTCTCCATCAATCAGCTGGTGTGCGGTCTGGCGCAATATGGCTGCCGTTGCGTCATCCAGGTGGATGCTGCACACTGGTGTTGGATAAGGATATTTCCCCTAATGTGTAAAGTGCTTTGAGTGCACAGAAAAGTGCTATATAAATAAAAGGAATTAATTTTTTTTTTTAATTTTGTTTATAACGTTAGGGGTACATGCGTCACTTGACATCTTTAAATTGGCCTGTGTGAAGTATTTAGTTAATTTTAAATTCAACCGTAAATGGTGCCATGCAATATATTTTGCACATACAGTTGGAGCCCCCCTGATTTATTAACCCCCCTGTATAATTTTCTTCCACAATTTGTATTTAACGGAGAGATTTGTTTTTCAACACATTTCTAAACATAATAGTTTTAATAACTCATCTCTAATAACTGATTTATTTTATCTTTGTCTTGATGACAGTAAATAATATTTTACTAGATATTTTTCAAGACGCTTCTATACAGCTTAAAGTGACATTTAAAGGCTTAACTAGGTTAATTAGGTTAACTAGGCAGGTTAGGGTATTTAGGCAAGTCATTGTAAAACGATGGTTTGTTCTGTAGACTATCAAAAAAAATTTTGCCTAAAGGGGCTAATCATTTTTGCCTTAAAATCTTTTTTTTTTAATAAAAACTGCTTTTATTCTTGCCAAAATAAAACAAAGAAGACTTTCTCCTGAAGAAAAAATATTATCAGACATACTTTGAAAATTTCCATGCTCTGTTAAACATCATTTGGGAAATATTAAAAAAATCAAAAAAATCAAAGGGGGCTATTAATTGTGATTTCAACTGTATATTTTGGACAGAAGTGTTTAACTGTATTGATCTGATCCTTAAAACTGCCCCAGTTTCTAATGTGACCCCTAATAATTTTGCCTCATGTAAGCACAGATTAAGTTATTGTTAATGAACAGTGAGATTTTTCTACCTCCTTTTAAAAATCTAAAAAAATATATATAGTCACATTATATGAATATGTTTATTTGAAGCATTTCTACATTTAAAAACATTAATCATGAATCACTTTTACTGCATTTAAATGTAGTCAAGGAAGTTCAGCCATGCTTGTTTAATGTGTGAGAACCAATGAGGTCCATTCTTGTCAGATGATGAAGGGCTGCTTGATTGCATTGATGGAAATCATGATTATTTTATGTGATCACAAGTCTGTGCTAAAAGAGAAGCCAAAAAATAAATAAATAAATAAATACAATTAGACTGAAATAAGCGTGCTCATGTATGAGATATTTTATTGTGCATGTGCCTTTCTGAGCTGCATGTGTTTGTTCCTCTTACTGTTTCTTTATTATTAGTCTGTCATTTGTCTGTTTAAGTTTTATGTGGTTAAAAAAATAGTGGTGTTAGAAAGAGGCGCAGACCACCGCTCGGCAAATCTTGCAAATCTTCCTTGTTTTTCTGAAATCAATCTCTTCAACATGTGATCCGACTGACAAAAACACAAGTAGACATTTACTAAGTACAGGTGTAAACAGTGTTTGAAATGTTTTGAGTTGTCCACTTTCGAGCACATCCACTGTTCCCACTTTTGGTTCAGTTGAAAGGCTTTTTTGGCTGCTGATTTTTACATGCCACCAACTTGCACAATAGGCATTGGATGATAACCGCTTTCAAGGTTCACCATACTGTTCCTATGGTAGATGTAAAGTTTTATGTTTTCATGTTTTTTTTGTGACTATTGTATTTAGCTTTTTAGGGCAACAGTATCCTCAGCAGAGAATCTACTTTTCCTAAAGAATTTAAATGTTTTTAAAAATAAAATATCTTGTATTCAATGGGGGAAATAGTTGTTATTATTATCATCTATCTTTCTGAAAGTTCATTCATTTATTAATTTTCTTTTAGGCTTAGTCCCTTTATTAATTTAGGGTCGCCACAGTGGAATGACCCGCCAACTTATCCAGCATATGTTTTACACAGCGGATGCCCTTCCAGCCGCAACCCATCACTGGGAAACCCATACACACTCATTCACACACATACATACACTGGACAATTTGGCTTACCCAATTCAACTGTACCGCATGTCTTTGGACTTGTGGGGGAAACCAGAGCACCTGGAGGAAACTCACGCAAACATTGGGAGAAAATGCCAACTCCACATAGAAATGCCAACTGACCTGGCCGAGGCTCAAACCAGCAACGTTTTTGCTGTGAGGCGACAGCACTACCTACTGCGCCACCATGTCGCCTTTCTGAAAATTTTAAAGCATAAATGTTGTTTTGGGGAATAGACGTACTGTGGACAGACGGAAATCTCTGATTATATCTCTGATTAGATTTCTTTTTCCCTCTCATTTTAAAGTTAAATGAAAGTCTTGGTTTTTGGAATGATGTGAGGTTCAGTAAATGATAATAGAATTTACTTTTTTGGTAAATTAATCTCTTAATGGAAAGTATATATTCATTGGTGAAATCTTTTTTCATCATTTAAGCTTTCTTCTTTACAAACTGGGTCTCACAAAAAAAACACATGAAATGTCCTTCTATTTCTTTTTCATCTGGTCCGACACTAGATGTCCCAGCAGACAGAAAGCTCTCAGGCAGTCTTGCGACTCGCAGACAGGATCATTATTTTTTCATGTTGTAAAAGCTTTGCCGCAGCATGCTTTTCCACAAGAGCATCAAGATGGAAACTGGAATCCTTTTTACAACTCTGAGAGAAGGCCAAGAAAATGTGTGACACGGGCTCCCTGCTGATTCTCTTATTATTGGAATGCAGCCAGATTCCTGCTTCTTGCCACTGGAGCAGACAGAGACGTCATGGATGTGTGCTATCTTGTTTATCTTAATTCAGTTTTTAAATTTCAGTATTATTATTGACTGATAAAAAAATTGTTCATATGATATCAATGACTTGATAGAATATGATGGCAGACGTTCAATTCTAAAATCTCAATAGAAGCTTTAAATGTAAAAATGGTGTGATCAATTCTAATGGTTCTGGTAGTTTCCATGTTAAAACAACTACAAAAAAACTTTTGCAATGTTTTAAATCAATGGTTCTCAAACTTTTTTCATCAATTACCACCTCAGAAAAGAATTGTCTCTCCAAGTACCACCAAAATGAGCAGTATTGAAATACAGTAGCGCAGTAGGCCCAGTAAAGCAGCTACAACTCTGCACAGTTTAAAAAGTGGCAGATAACCTCAGAAATATAGGCTATATGTCATATGACACATCATTTTTGATAAATTTTAAAATGTGTGTAGCATATACATGACATATTTTATTCCTCCGCGTACCCCTAAAAAAAGCCTGCGTACCACTAGTGGTACACGTACCACAGTTTGAGAACCACTGTTTTAAATAATTTTCTTCTTAAATGTTGACACTTATCCTTTTACAAGTTTTTTTTTTTTTCACATTGGAAGTAAATTAATGCACTTCCTTACCCTCACCAGAGTTGACCTCATGGACATTCCTTGCATTCCAACCCAATATGGTCTTTTTCTGCCACATTGAGCCAGGCGGGAATGTGATTCATGTGTTTGAAGTTACATTCCACACCCCATCTCAGTCTCACCGAATGGGCCGTATAATAGCTTGTCCCAGCATGCCTGCCTTTGAACACTAGAGAACAGAGAGATTTGGTTTGACCTTTTTCAAGGCTTTGGTTCTGTCCTCTTAGTTATATCTTGCTATTAGTGTAATGTTTCTTGGTGAGGTGTGCTAGCAATTATTATACTCTGTACACTGCGTCCTCTTTTAGGGTCATCTTCGCTCTGGGAATCTCCATGACCTTCATAAATATCCCAGTGGAGTGGTTCTCTGTGGGCTTTGACTGGACCTGGATGCTGCTGTTTGGTGACATCCGTCAGGGCATCTTCTACGCCATGCTGCTCTCCTTCTGGATCATCTTCTGTGGAGAGCACCTCATGGTAAGTGCCAGCTTTCTTGTTTGTTCAAATGTGGATCAATTGGTGCAGAATTACTTTAAACTTTTGTCTTAAAATAAACAATTCTGTCGGAGCCTTTGAGATCTGTACTTTGTTAATACAATTCCCTTGATCTCTTTTCAACTGTCCTATCTTAATGAAGGGAAAAATACACTCTGTCACTTTACTTGGTTAGAAATGGTTTGGACTAATTTTTACCATTATGGCTGCCTTTTTAATTCAAGTCAATAAAAAAATAAAAAAAAATAATTAATCAGAGTTTTAAGATCCATATTGAAATGAAAGCATCATGCTATTGCTGCAGATCCACAATGTAAATCTCGCCTTCCTGCACATCCCAAATCAGATTGAGATATTGGATTGAGATCTGGTGACTGCTACCATTTAAGTATAGTCAACTCATTGTCATGTCCGTGATGATTTGTTTTCCTGCTGGACATAACAGTTAAGATGGTCACACTGTAATCATCAACAACATACGGCTTTGCTGTGACGTTGACTTGGTAAGTCCCAGGCTTTAATACCAACTAAGCATCATATAAACGTCAAAGAACTAACCAAAACCTACTATGTTAACTCGTGTAAGCTATGTGTCTTGCCTGAACTGGACCAAAAAGTTGCACCTCAACACCCCAAACAGATGATAGCCGACTTGGAGCTTGAACTAAAGGATTTATCTTTCCATACCAGCAGGTGGCAGTATGTCTATTGTCAATTCACAAATGGAAACCAGAACTAGTGCTGCACAGATTTAATAAAAACAAAACATAAAATCGTGTTTACATAGCATTTTCACTTCTCACTAACTCCAAATAAATTCGCTCATGCAAATATGTCTGCTAATCAAATAATCTATTTATTTCCAAATATTTAACAAATGCAATGGAATGACAGCTGCCTTCCTTTTGTTCCATTTAAACTTGACGTTGTTTACTTAGTCCCTCTGATGTGAGTTCGACCAGAAGCAAGGAGCTACTCCCATCGGACATAAAACTCAGGATTAGAACAAACTAAACTGAAACTTAGCTTAGCTAGCCAGCTAATCCACCTTCGGTGTACAGGCCTCTGTTGATTTTTACAGTTTTCCATTGTAAGTTTCAGCCATTAACGTAAATTTTTAATCAGACAATCACATGGCAGCAGCTCAATGAATTTAGGCATGTAGACATGGTCAAGACAATCTGCTGCACTTAAAACAGAATGAAGCAGAAAGGTGATTTAAGTGACTTTGAACATGGCATGACAGCTGGAGCCAGATGTGCTGGTCTGAGTATTTCAGAAACTGTTGAAAAAGAGAAAATATCCAGTGAGCGGCAGTTCTGTGGGTGCAAATGCAATGGGAATGCCAGAGGTCAGAGGAGAATGGCCAGACTGGTTCGAGCTGATAAAAAAGCAACATATGCCAAATAATCACTTGTTACAACCGAGGTATGCAGAAGAGCATCTCTGAATGCACAACATGTCGAACCTTGAGGCAGCTGGGCTACAGCAGCAGAAGACCACACCACTACTGTCAGCCAAGAAGAGGAAACTGAGGCTACAATTCACACAGGCTCACCAAAACTGGACAAAAGAAGATTGGAAAATCGTTCCCTTGTTTGAGTCTCGATTTCTACTGCAACATTCAAATGGTAGGGTCAGAATTTGGTGTCAACAACATGAAAGCATGGATCCATCCTGTCTTGTATAAACCGTTCAGCCTGGTGGTGGTGGTGTAATGAAGTGGGGAATATTTTATTGGCCTGTTAGTACCAATTGAGCATCGTGTTAATGCCACAGTCCTGAGTATTGTTGCTGACCATGTCCATTCCTTTATGACCCCAGTGTACCCATCTTCTGATGGCTACTTCCAGCAGAATAACATGTCATGTTATAAAGCATGTATCATTTCACACTGGTTTCTTGAACATGAAAAGGAGTTCACTGTACTCAAATGGCCTCCACAGTCACCACAACTCAATCCAATAGAGTACCTTTGGGATGTGGTGGAACCTGAGATTAGCATCATGGATGTGCAGCTGACTAAACTACAGCAACTGTGTAATGCTATCATGTCAATATGGACCAAAATCTCTGAGGAAAATTTCCAGTACCTTGTTGAATCTATGCCTCAAAGGACTAAGGCAGTTCTGAAGGGAAAAAAGTGGGTCCAACCTGGTACTTGTAAGGTGTATCTATTAAAGTGGCCGGTGAGTGTATATGTAAATGCATCATGTTGCTGCCATGTGATTGGCTGATTAGATATTTGCTTCATTAAACGGATGTTTAAAGTGGCTAATAAAGAGTGTATAACTGAAAAACAAGCAAAACAAAAAAAAACGCAGGTTAGATTAAGTTTGGTAAACTGTGGGATTTGACTTAATTTCCATGCTTAAAATGTGCCTTTCTTTCTTATAGTTTAATTTTCTTGTTTATTTTTCAAGGACCAGACTGAGAGGAACCGCTTTTCAGTGTACTGGAAGCAGGTTATACCCATTGTCTTTGGCTCCTTCTGCCTTTTCATATTTGATATGTGCGAGAGGTGAGCCAACATTTACTCACATTTTTGGCAGTTCTTTAGTGCATTTGTAAATTCTGCAATGTTATTTTTTTAATAAACAAATGTATTAATATTATTATTTGCAGAGGAGTACAGCTAAAGAATCCTTTCTACAGTATCTGGGCATCAGATGTCGGGACAGAACTGGCTGTATCCTTTTGACGCTGTGGGCTTTTCAACTTTCTGTAATGAGAAACGTTACAGCAGCTCATTTGCATATAAAGAGACACACAATTATATATATTTTTGCTTCTACCTCAAAATGGGCATTTACATCACAAAATGTTATTTAAAGGTATAATAGGATTTTTTTTGTTTTCAGTTATGCATTTCATATGTACCACACATGTTCACTCTTAACATACTAAAGGCTTAGACTTAAGTATGATTTCCAGGAAAATGTCAAGACCATACTATTGTGATGGTTGCTGTGCTGTTGTGTTGTAGTGTATTGTGCATTGTTTTATTACTTTAACTGGGGTTGGTGCAGATGGCCTTCATCATTGTCGCAGGAATCTGTGCATGCCTCTACTTTTTGTTCCTGTGCTTCATGGTGTTCCAAGTGTTCAGGAACATCAGCGGGAAAAGGTCGTGTTTGCCTGCTATGACTAAGGCTCGTCGACTGCACTATGAGGTAATGTAAACTTGATTTATTGCACAATAAATTAGTCAAAAGTGATGCAGAAGGCATTTGTTACAAAATAATTGATTCGATTCAATTCAATTCAATTCAATTTTGTCCATTAGAAAACTCTACAACAAATGTATCATGATTTTCACAAAAAGGTTAAGCAGTATAACTGTAACACTTATAATAATAATAATAATATAAAATATTCTATGATTTTGAATTTTCATCAAAGGAATAAAATTTAATTTTAAAATGTATGTATTAAGTCATTAAAACTTTTTTTAATCAAAATTACAGTAAATAAGTACTACTTTCAAGAATTCATACGGTCATGGAAAACCTTTAAAAGTCATGGAATTTTGACATGGCATTTTCCAGGCCTGTAATTGTTTTGGAAAAACATAAAAATCACAAAGTTTTGAAAAGTCATGTAAATCAGTTTAATTAATATCTGTATAATTGAATTAGGGCTGCACGATATTGGAAAAATATTGGATATTGGATATTGGTCACTTGGCTTAGTTTCTAGCACTACAGCATCTTGTTGTCATATTTCATTTACATTGTTTGCTGATTTGATTCAACAAAACTAGCATAAGGTGAGTATTTAGTGTGAGTTTGGTGTTACTTTGCCTTATGGTCAATGCAGTAAGTGACTGTATTATCATCAATACTTGTTAAGCACAAAAGTTCGTAACATACAAAAATATAAAAAACTAAATCTTATCTGAGAAATGTTCAGCCTTTGTGCTTTGTTTTCTTTGTTTGCTCGTTACTGAACCCATACACAGCACTAAAAGTCCAGCATCTTCACAATTTAATTTGATATAGAATTATTCTGTAGCATCATAAATCTCTTTGCTGTTACTTTTGGTCAGTTTACACCCTTGTGTTAGCATTGTGTTTGTTTTAAATAGTTAATAATTTCCGTGTCATTTTCATTTTTTCAAGATGAATTAAATAGTTTGAGTTGCTTAAATAAAAAAAAAATATATATATATATATTTCACTCCTTTAGGGTCTCATCTTCCGCTTCAAATTCCTGATGTTGGTCACGCTAGCATGTGCTGCCATGACTGTCATTTTCTTCATCATAAGCCAGGTATAAATAAATTTTCACCTTTATCTTCTCTCCATCGAAATATCCTATAGGTGAAGTCATTCAGATGGTCATTGTTATGCGTTTTGTATGTTACCAGGTGAGTGAGGGTCACTGGCTCTGGGGCGGGCACACGGTTCAGGTGAACAGTGCCTTCTTCACTGGCATCTATGGAATGTGGAACCTTTACGTGTTTGCCCTCATGTTTCTCTACGCACCGTCGCACAAACGCTATGGAGATGAGCAGTCAAGCGGTAAGACTCCTGAAGAGCTATCCTTTGATTACTTTATTTATTTTATATTGTGAAAGCAAAATTAAGCACTCTCATATGAGCAGTTATACTATTACCTCATCGCAGGTAATATTTGGTAGTTAGGTCATTTATTTTAGTAGTTTGGCAACCGTCAAACATCATTTGGGAAACAGTTTGATTTTCTGGTTAGTAAAAAAACTGTTCCATTTGGGATGAGTGTTGAGTGGGTAAGTGCATAAGTAAATAGTGTGTAGTGTGCCATTTAATATGCAGCTAAAGTGTTAAGGCCAGGTCCTCTCTCGTCTTGCACTGCTGTCTCTCCTGCTTTTAAGATCCAGAGCTCTTCTGTGAGACTCAAGAGGTGGCACACACAGGGGACTGTTGTTAAAGGGTCACAAAACACCAAAACACATTTTTATTTTTATGTTGACCTTCATATATGTGTTCCACACTGCTAAAAATACTATTAGGACACATATATTTCACAAAACATTAAAAATGGGTTGAGAGACTTCCAGGTCTTTCCAGACCGCCGATCAGCGCGCACTATTGTGTATGAGGTACAACTTCATTAGAATGCATGATAGCTTTGAAGACAGTTACAGTGTTTAGGCGGCAGAGAGAGGCCACGCTGTGTTGCCAGCCGTAATTAAAACTAGTGGAAGAAGAAAAATTGTTTGGAAACATGGGTCGTCTGTGTTGTTTATAAATATACCGCAACAAATATTAAGTTTTTATCTCGCCGCTATGAGAGCGCAGCTGAACTCTTGTGTGGAATTGCAGTGCTCTGCTAACACGCGACCACTTAACTCCACGCTGCGCTCTTATTGACCTTATTCTTCAATGCAAAAGTGCGCCCGTTTTTGCAATTATTATTATTATTATTATTTATTTATTTATTTTTTATTAATTAATAATTTTTTAAAATTATTTTTTATGTATTTTTTTTTAAGAACTTCCGATTCAGATACCTATGGGAAAAATGACTAGGAATAATAAACGGCTGAAAACGGTCAAACTACTCTCTCTATAAACAAGTCTCTAGCCAAAAAGATACGAATGGCTGCGCCCGGTCATGCACTGAAAATAAGGTGAATAGCAGGGAAATAAAAACGAATCCTTTGTTGCGGTACATTTATAATGGAACACTGACGACTCGTGTCTCCAAACAATTCTTCTTCTTCCACTCATTTTAATTATGGTTTGCAACACAGTGTGGTGTCTTTCTGCCATCTGAACACCGTAACAGGTAAAAACAGTCTTCGAAGCTGTATCATGCATATTAATGAAGTTGCACCTATCACAATAGAGCATGCTGATTGGTTTGAACTAAGTCTTTCTCTTAATGATGAAAATTCAAAGACGTCACGTTGTACCCACCAGTTCAGACATCCAGTCTCCACACTGGAATACACACAAGGATCTAATTACCGTGACGTAGCTTCTAAATTTCTTTTCAAACCCAGAAGAACGAATTTGCTCGAAATAACTAAAAAACAACCAATTTTCTCTTTTTAGGGAAATATATATGTCCTTATAGTGTTTTTAGTAGTGTGGGATACATATATGACTGTCAACAGTTAAAAAAATGTGTTTTGATGTTTCGTTACCCTTTAGGATATATTATTTTGAGGTCTCTCATCCTCCATAGAGAGCAATGGTCCTAAGATGTTCTGAAAAGACAAGAAATTATTACCTTATTAAAACATTTAATGTGACTTCAGTGGCTGTAATCATATGAATCTCCATGAACAGCCTTGAATGCCAAAACAAAAAAACTGTATAATGGCTTTGTTCATCTATGGCTTCCTCTTCAAACTGCAGGTTTACCAAGTTCAGTATGTGTAATATGACTGCTGACCCTACATTCTATGGCCCGTAGTAACCTGACAACCAGACAAGGAAGAGAAGATATAGGTTAAATAGGGTTTTTGGGGAGTACAGTGTTCCAAGCGCCACTGAACCATTGAAGTCATATGGCAGATTCTGACAATATTAGCTAAATATAACCAGTAGTGTAAAGTAACAAGTTACAAATACTCAAATTACTGTAATTGAGTAGTTTTAAAAATGTGTACTTTTACTTGACTCTTGCCTTGAGTACATTTTTAGTGCAATATCGGTACATTTACTCCACTACTTTCCTTCAATCTGCAGTCACTACTTTATTTATTCTTGCCTATGGGGATTAGAAAATTCAGTCCTGTGATTCCTGTCCAATCAATCCCACATAGAAGTAAAGAGGTAAATCACATTAGAATGAACTACCTCAAGACATGGGCAATTCATAATTGCAGCAAACTGTTTGGAAGCATTAAAAGTGTTCAAGAAGATGTCCAAAATCTTTACACGCATTGACCCACAGATTGTTTAGATGAATGTCACTAAGGAAAAACGTACGGATGTTTACTGTATGAATACTCTTTTGTACCCCAATGTCGTGGGGATGTTGCATTTTGCTTGGAAATAAATATCGGTTTGATGTCAGGCCGATGCCACTGTCCAACCTAAACTCAACCAAATATCAATGTCTAAAGTTGTTTCAGCTTAACGTTGTGTGGATGTTATCACTATAACGCTTATTCATACCTGATGAATAAATGTCAGTATTTGACATCAATATGACATTGGTTTGAGATGTTGGCTTGACATTAGATTTTGGTCACTTTCTAACACCCTAAAATCAACCAAATATCAACGTCATTATTGGACATCGAAATATTGTTTTCCTGAGATGCTGGATAGACAATGAATTTTGGTCACCTGACAATACAACCTAAATCTAGCCTAATATTAATGTCTTATGATGTTCGCCTGCTGGACAATAACTAAATGCATTACAGAGTATTACGTTTACACACATGCACAAATTACATGTAAATGCATCAGCTTTTTATAGCATAGTACTTACTACCCTTGAATATTTTTGAAAAGGCTACTTCTTGCTCATACTTCGAGTAATATTTACAACAGATTTTGCTATGTTTTTTTACTCTTTTACTCTACTTGCGCTACATTTTTAGGCAAGTAATGGTACTTTTACTTAAGTATGATTTTTCAGTACACTTTCCGCCACTGAAGTTATCTTAATTTGTGTTCTGACGATGAACGAAGTATCAGAGGATTTGAACAACATAAGTAATTGAGAGAAATTTCATTTTTGGGGGAAGTAACTCTTTAATACTGCATAACAGGAGAACTTTAATAGAGGATCATTTAAGACGATAAGCAATATCATGTTTTATATTATAAATAGCTTTTTAAAGATTTTTAGGTATTGTTTGTAATTTATTTTTATTATTGGCTTTCTGATGCATTATTTGAATTTGTATGAAGAATTATTGGCTGCTTTGAGAAATCACTTTTATAACTGCGGTTTTGCACACAAATATAGACATGACTAATACATTTTTAATTTACTTGCTTTTTTCCTAAATAATTCGAAATGTGTGTAATACTCCCACAAACAACATATGTTTTATTAACTGTGTTGTATCCAACTGTACATATTGTATAAATGAATTTGTTTTTAAAAAGAACTCTCCCAGTAGAGTCAGATGATGCTTATTTATGTCTTCAGCACTGCAAACACATTCACTTAGCAGCATGTTACACCGTCTCCAGGGGCCTCATGTACGAAGACTTGCGTGGAATCCATACTAAAACATTGCGTACGCACAAAGCTGTAAATGTGTGTACGCAGAAAAAAATTCAGATGTATAAAACACCGTACGCCGAATCACACGCATATTCTTTGTACATCTTAATGAACGTGAAACTGAGCGCAACATGCACGAGCGCAAAACCCCTCCCTGCCTCCTCCCCCGTATGAATATGCTAATGACTCTACTTTGGCAAAACTCAACGAAAAAGCAATGGCAAAAGCAAGCAAAAAGAGAAAATTTAAACAGAGTGTGAACTGGAGGTGCTGCTTTCGGAAGTAGACCAGAGAAAAGCGGTGTTATTTGCAAGTTTGTCCTCTGGAATTAATAACAACAGAAAAAAAATAGAGTGGGAGAGTTTAGCTGATGCAGTTAACACAGTTGGGTCTGAACATCGCACTGATTGGATTTAAAAAAGAAGTAGTGCGATGTAAAGGTGTAAATTTTTATAGTGTCTTTAACAGCCTGAGTGGCGCAGCTCGTTAAATGCATGGCAATATGTTTTCACGCGTTCAAGCATGAACTCGTCTGATGAAATTTCTTTTTCTTTTTTTTTTCCGCTACATATCAGATTTTGCCTATACTCTTCATCATCATGAGGAAGACAAGTAGGAATCATGAATAAGTCTGTGCATCATATTTTATTTGCACATTTATTGCATGGAAATGTTTCTGATTCACGTATGCAAATTCATCCTCAGATGGTGCCTTTATAGCAATGTGCGTGCAGTAGATCGCTCCGATTACATTGGGAAAACTGGCGACCGCTGCAAATTGCGCTTTAATGTTTGGATGGTCAACTGTATGGTACGGAAACCTTATATACTAGACATGCGGATGAACCCTTCTCATACAGCTGAGAAGACACTTTGTAGTGTGCAATTTAACACAACTGCCTCTAGGAGTCGCCAATGGAAATAAAACAGACACGCACAAAAAATGTGCGTACACCAGCCATAAAGTTGGCGTGGAGCTGTGCACATTCCCACGTTCATTTCATCGTTAGTAAATCCAAACGTGAGCGATTCTGAGCGTGAAACCTGGCGTACGCAAAGTTTTTGTGCATACGCAGCGTTGATACATGAGGCCCCTGGTGTTCGGATTTGTTTGAAGTCAAACACATCTCGACAGGAAAGGGTGAGGTTTCTTTTTTTTTTCTTGTGGGAAAACTGGCCTCTTTGGTGGCAGCAAGTTTCTCTAATTTAGGCCAGACTTCCTATTTGGGCTTTTGAAATGGAAACCATCAATATCTTGATGTCACGCTTGAAACTTCGTCATGCATTTCTCTTTCTAAATGTCTTTTATGGTTATTAGATTAGTCATTCCAGAGAATTCTCTTCAAACATTGTATTTTTTATGGTTAAAAAGGTCTTTTTAAGTGCACAATGCCAAGAGGTAAAAAGGTCAGTCCAGCTTTGCTCCAACATAATTAGATGGAAAATGGACTTAAATTGTTTATGGCTTAAGGGAATAGTTGACTCAAAAATTAAGATTTACTCACTATTTGCTTACTCTAAAGGGGTTGCAAAATTTTAGGAGCTTCTTTCTTCTGTTGAACACCAAAGGACATGTTTTGAAGAAAGCTGAAAACCTGCAACCATTATCTTTGATAGTAGGAAAAACAAATACTATGGATGTCAGTGGTTACAGGTTTTCAGCTTTCTTCAAAATGTCTTCTTTTGTATGTTCAAAAGTTAGTATGTTAATGTACATTGACGGATAATAAACAAACATATATATACAGCTAAAGTATGTTCATTTAAAGTGTGTGATGCACACTACTGAAATCATGTCACAATACAAGTCAGAAAAATTACTATAAGAAATGTATCAAATGGGTTTTGTAAAACCGCTTCATGCAGCTTTGTGACAAACAACATAATCAGGATCTCTGAGAGGGAGTTTTCAAGGTGCAAATTTAAAGAGGATCTATTATACAAAGATCACTTTTATACAGTGTTTATAGACCAAAAAATTGGGTGAACATAGCCAGCCTCTAATGGTAAAAATGACTGAATTCTATTTTAATTATGTCACTTAATAACAGTCTGCAGAAACACTTTGATTGACATTCTCGCTTTGTACATGTCATCAGAGGGGGAAAGTCCCGCCCATTGGTGTTGATCTCTGCCTCATTAGCATAAACAGCACTGAGTGAGAAGCAGCCATCCACCTTTCATCTGCTGAAGATAATGTCAGTGACTTAGAGGATTATAAATGTGGAGTTTTGGGAAGCTCAAATGAACACTGTAGTCTCCATATTCTGCTGCCTTCTGAGCTGCCACTTTTGACATTTTCATTTTTTACAGAGATAACGTTAGTCATGTTTGGAATCTGCCGCTATGCTGACACAGGTGTTTGTAGCTCTGCCCTCGTTCGAAAAGAGGGTCGGGAGCACAATCTGTCACAATTTAGATCAAAGTCTGAAAGGGGCATTTTCAAAGAGCTTGAAACTTCACATTTAACATCAGAGACTTATTTTACATCTTGTAAAAAGGGCATAATATGTCTCCTTGGAGGATCACATGGGAAAACTAGGTTGCTGTTGGTAGTGGTGTTAGTGGGGCCAGCAGGGGGTGCACAACCTGTGGTCCGTGTGAGTTCTAATGCCCCAGTATAGTAAAGGGGACACTACTGTCAGAGAGCGTTGTCTTTCAGATGAGACATTATGCTGAGGCCCTGACTGTCTGTGGTCACTAAAAATCCTGTCACCTCTTGTAAAGAGTAGGGGTGTGACCACGATGTCCTGGCCAAAATCCCTCAATTAGCCCTTACCCATCATGGCCTTCTAATCATCCCCATCCACCAAACTGGCTCTATCACCGTCTCTCTACTCCACCATTAGCTGGTGTGTGGTGAGCTCACTGGCGCCATTGTCCTGTGGATTGTCCAAGTAGATGCTGCACACTGGTGGTGGTGTGGAGAGACCCCCCTCATGAATGTGAAGCGCTTTTTTAGCATAATAAGATAACCGATAATATAATAAAGATAGGATAAGATAATAAAAGTACATATTACTTACTTACTACATCCATAATGCAGTGATCTGTATTAATGTTGTTTGACACAATTTCAGTTTTTAGTTGTTCTCTGTTCATTTTCAGATGCAAAATTTGCTGGAACACCTTATGTGTTTGTGATTTTTATTTAGAAACATTTTCAGCTCATTTTAACAAAACCACAATGATGATAACTGTGATCTTTTCGATTACTACGGTCATTGATATGATATGTTGATGCCATACATCTCTAATTATCGTTGATAAATCTCTAATGCATTTCCCTATTCTCTCTTCTTTTTTTAGCTGATCAGGCTGGAAACAGCGGTGAAGACACACAGCTGACCACCACCATCACACATGTCGACGGACCCACAGAGATCTACAAAATGACTGGCAAAGAAGCTCAAGAATAACCTCTACCCAGAGTTCAACACGCGTCTCAAGTTCTGCTTTTGTGTGTCCTGTTTGGTCCCCTGCATTTCAGACAAATATAAACCGATATTAAGCCTCTTTTTTTCAACGTTTGATTTCCATCCCACTGCGTGTCAGTTTAAGAACAGCTGCTTGTGGAGAAAAAAAGTGGAGTTGCACACCATCTTGTGGGTGCAAGAAGAAATTCAGAAGCCGTTCTCGCATTGTGGATGGAAAAAGACACTGGTGTTTTGCAAGGACCAATACATGGAGGAAAGAAAAAACAAGGTCCTTTTCCTATAATCACGCAGCAATTATTTCCTGCTTCTATATTTTGTATCTGAGATAATGGCTTTCCCTTCATTTCTTAACCTCAAAACAAGGAAGAACAACACTGTCAACATGCTGTATAGTTACTTATGTTTCTGTCAGTTGATCCTTCCTCATCTGACTTCCTTAAACACTCCCTGCCAAATGTAAACACGGTATAAACATGAATGACTGAGTTCAAACCAAGAGCTAGGGACGGACGTCACTTCACGTACCAATAGATAGATTCAGGTCCTTATGTTCTGAATGGCAAACACTATGTTCATTATGTTACGATGTAGAGATCTATTTTTTATAAAGTGCTTATTTTCATCTGTATGAAAGTATTAGTGGCTGTATTGTATCATCTTTTTGAGGTTTTTCGATTATATCACATTGGAAATTTAGGGTTTTGTTTGTTTTTTCATGCTTTTTATGCAAATTTAAATAATAAAAAACACATTTTAGATTTGCTTGGTTAATGGGACTTTGCTTGAAATGATGGTATATATGCACAAAAAGATGCTCTACAACAATAAATCTCAAAATTACACTATCACTGATTGCAGGACTAAATGGTATCTTGTGTAAAACGGACAAATATGTTGATTTCAAGTTGCACTATATTTTGCTTGGTATACCTCAGATTTGGTCTATATGCAGACATTATAGTGTTACAATTCACTGTTAATTCACCTTTATTTTTATAGCGTTTTTACAATGTAGATTGTGTCAAAGCAGCTTCACATAAAATAATTATAGTAAATAGAAATAGTGTAGTTTAGTTTTAAAGTTCAGTTTAGCTCAGTTCAGTGTGGTTTAATTAGCACTACTGAGAGTCCAAACACTGAAGAGCAAAACTTCATGCGCAGCTCTACAGATCCCGAACCATGCAATCTAGTGACGAGGAAAAAGCCACCAATTGGTGAAAGTGAAGAAAAAAAAACTTGAGAGAACCAGGCTCAGATGGATACGACCATTTTTTTCACTGGCGAAACATCTTGTGCAGAGCTACAGACAAAAGCACAGATCAAGCACTGAAGTCATAACATTTACTATATTATAAATGTAAGCTTTTATGTTGTAGAGATTGTTTAAAAAGAAATCATACCATGTCAGTGGTGTTACGGTTAAAAAATCGAAACGTTGAAATACTCAATGGGGTTTATGCACAGCTAGTGTTTTTCAGCCAATGATAAACTTCCTGTGAAAGCTTAATGCGACTATTTTCAATTTTATAAGGATAATTTTACAGCATTGACATTGCGATGTAATTAAAATATATTCAGTTAAATAAACTTACGCATTCATTAGTTGTTCAAGCCTAAAATAAGATGATAGACTGTGTAAACACTAGTGTCATCAGTCGCAACAGCTTAGCGCAGAAACTTCATTGAAAATACTGGGGTAAAATACATTTTCATATTTTGAAGACATGGCAAGGAAAGCGAAATTTAATGTCGTGATTCTTATCCGGTCTGAGACCCACTTTATATTGTATATCAATCAGGCAATAAGATCACTTATTTTTAAGGAAAACTGAATTTTTTATTATTTAATTTATTTATAAATTTAATTTAATTTCTTTATGGAAAGACTGAAATCTGGTACACTGAAATTACAAGTCCGTGTGCATATACACCATTGAGATACAATGTAAATATTACATACAATTTTATACTAAATGAAAAATTTGAAAGGCTTCATCAAAAGATAACTCTGGTGGTGTTTACATTTTTTGTTTACATCATGAATTTTTTTGTATTTTTAAGAATTTTATGCCACTAAACTATATTTAGGGAGCAACTATTATCTATCCATTTGACACTTTTTTTCATAGAACTAAAAATGAAAACTGTTGTTTAAATTTATTGTTATGAACAATGCACAGAATTTCAAATTTGACTTGATGTATAATGTATGCATAAATCAGTCATAATTAAGTTCTGGTTTAAATTTGAAGTTAGTATCTTTAGATTACTTTAATTGACTAAAATTTTACTCAAGATTAAAAAGAATTAAATTCAGTTAGATTCAATATATTTTATTGTCATTACACATGTACAAGGCAATGAAATGCAGTTTAGGTCTAACCAGGAGTGCAATAGCAGCAAGTGCAGGATAAAGGTATAAGTTATAACAGAAGGATGGACTGTGAACATTATATACAGGTTTTATTATCTATGAACAGAGTTTTACAATAGAAGAATATATGTACAGGCTGCTATTAATAATCAGAGGTGTGCAGGTAGATATGAACATAATTACAAATGTGTATGAGCAGTGGATATGTACAATTCAACATGAATTAGTGCAACGAACTGAAATGAATATGTGCATTTTTAAATGTGCAAATATTTAATAGTGCTGTGATAATGGGAAGAAAAAATTCAATGAAATGATTCTACTATATTCTTTAAAGTAAATCAGTTTGTCATTCATTTACAGTGGGTTCATTGCTGAATTTTCTGATAAAGACCCTAATTTGTTTTGTGTGTGTGCATGTTCACATAGTGGGTGCCAAAATGTGGTCAAATTTTAGAATGAAATGTGCCTGCCAACACTATAACATTGCTTAGTATGCTGCTCTACTCTTCCTGCTGCCCATCTCTCCAACACAGCAGCCTTTCAGCTTATCTCAGCCTCAACAATCTCCTGCTATGTTCTTTGAGCAGGTGCGGACAAGAGCTCTAATGATACAATAATAGAGCTAGACTGAAAATATAAAACTGTAAATCTAACATACAGTAATGGGTATTATGTGAGTAAGTTTTGTTTTGGTCAGGTCAGTATTTGCCCCTAGGAGAAGAGTGTCTGTCTGTCTGTCTGTTTGTCTGTCTGTTTGTTCGTCTGTTAATACAAAGTTAAAAAAAAAAAAATATATATATATATATATATATATTTTATGGTAAACCTAATCTGTTCTATGTGTTCATATGTATTTACCTATGTTTACCTGTGTAAGTGAACAATGTCAAATACATTTCTAAAAGTATTTACAATATTATCACACAAACTGTTGCATTTGTATATTTTTTGATGATATAAAAATAAGTTTTTTTAAAAATGCAACTTCTACAGTTTTTAATTATTAATGGCTCTGTTTAGTAACAGAGCTATTAAACTGCAAAAAAAAATTCTTAGAGTTTTTGTCTTGTTTCTAATAAAATATCTAAAAATAAGTAAATGAATGTAAAATTTTTCTTATTAAAAACTCTAGTAAGGTAAAATAAAATAAAGCAAAATTATCTGCCATGGGGTAAGTAAAATAATCATGTTTTCAACTAGCAGATTTTTGTCTACTAGCAGGTTATTTAGCTTGTTTTAAGGTAAATCTTCTTCATTTTGATCTATTATTTTTTGTAAACAACATTTTAACCTGTCTACAAAAAAGCTTCTACAAAAGATATTTGGACTTGACAAAAAAAGAAAAGAAAATAATTTTGTTTTTTGCAGTGTATGGTCTAAATGGTAAATATAAAAGCACAAAAAATGAAATATGATGTTTTCATGATAACTTTAACGTTAAATCATTTTGTCTTAATAAAAGGAATGTATTTGAGGTCACTATGTACGCATCTTCAAACCTTGTCAGAGTCAGTCTAGCACATAAATGCTGTAAAGACAAAGCCAACATCACAAAAAGACAAATTCCTGGCCAATACAGCAACATTCCTTTTTGTCAAGGCAAGGGAGCAACTGTTCCAAGGATCACAGAAAGAGGGCGCCTGAATTGAAGAGAATTTGGGAGAAAAGAGGCAGAAAACAATCAGCGGCGTCTCTCTCCACAGCTCGATGGCTTCAAAAGGTCGACGGTGACGTCAGGTCTTGCGCCGACTGTGATTGGTCAGCGTAGGTGGAAGTGCTACAAACGGTGTCATTCACAAAGTAACAAGAATACACTACAATAGTGATAAAGAATTCAATTAACTTCCATAAAATATTAAGATCATTTCCCGAGGAAATTATACAAACGGACATTTTGAGCTTGACGTGAAAGTAACTCGGGGGCGTGTTTTCCGTTTCTTCACTGATTTATCAGGAGATCACTCTTGGGAGATTTTTTTTTAAAGGTAAGAGTAAGCTGTCGACGGCGGTTAAGTTTTACGGCTTTAGTGTGCATGTTTTTCACAAGTATCACAAAATGTATGAACTCCACTGCTTAATTTTGTTGACTATCTGCATTTCTTTGTCGAAGTAAGCTAGAAAGTTGTCGTCTGTTAATCCTTTATGGGAGAGAACTTAAAGTTGTGAACTTCGCAAAACTAACGATAGCACGAGTCATATTCATTGTGAAATGTTAAACTGTAAATCACAGTGTATGTGTGTGTAAATCAAACTTTAGAAAACGTTAAAGTTAAAATGAATTCCCAGTGTCCACCCTTTGGTATGCGAGGGAAATTCCTGAATTTGAGTCACTGTTATAAGTTAGTAGGCCAAAATGACTCTGGTACAATTGTTTAATAAAAATGCGACTGTAAAGAACAAGAAATCATTTAAAATATTTTCCAGCTTGTGTGAGACCACCTCAGATACTACTACAAGTACAGACCTGACAGATGAATTTCCTTCTATGCAGTCAATGACACATACAGAAGGTTCTAGACATGAATTTTAAGATTTAAGGTTCTGGGCTGTGATTTTAAAAGTTCGGATTTGTATGTTTTAAACCCCCTTGTAAATCCCCTCTGAATATGGTCTGCATACATGACTACACTGTTAATGACCCACAGATTTGGGCTCAGTGAGGATGCTTTTCATTTAGCTTTTTCATTGAACTCTATTTAAGGTTTGACCTCTCAAGTTTGTTTTTGGGGATAGAAAAGTGTTACCTGCTCAGGGACCACACCAATTGTGTCTTCATAGGGAGGACAGTGCATTGAATCTAGCCTGATCGAGTTTGAAAGCTGACACTTGGCCCTGAGGATGTCAGTGAACTCCTATACGTAACTTGTATGGTTTAAATCAGATTAGGTTTCTTTACCAAAAGCAAATTCTTTATTTTTTTCCTCCCCACCATGTTGTCTAGCAAGCTCCATCAAAATGGACAAAGAAAGATATAAAAGCAGACCAAATGACTTGAGTGTTGTATTCTAATTCTTCTAGACATGCATGATGTGTTTGTGACGGAGAAACCAGAGTTTAATTAATTTTTACTATAGCTTTCCAGTCAAAAATGACTTTTCGCTCAACTTGTAAACCATCAAACATCACTGTTCCCAACATAAAATCTAGGTTAACATTCTAGATAAAACTTAATATAAAATATAAATTTTGGATGTGCTATCAGGAGAATATTTAAAAAAAACACATCATTTTTTTGCTTACCTACAGTATGTAACAGTGACGGCTGCTGTAGTGATGCAGTGATTGACCACAGTACTGTTCAAATCTGATTTCTGTTTGTGTTCAGGGTGTTAGTCAGAGGATGTGACTGGAAACATTTTTCTGCCCAAACCAAACCTCAACTGACCACACTGCTGCTCCAACTCAAGAAATATTATTTGAACAATGTGCAACAGTTTATGCGTACATAGACCTTTTGTGTCTTTGCGCATGAATCATCAGTATTTATTTGGATTCCAGTTATACCGTTACAGTACAATATAGGCCTGCACAATACATCGTTTTCAACATCACTGAATGTTAGGGTTGTGAATCTCTTGACACCTCACAAACTGATTTCATTACGATTCAGGAGGTTGCGATGTGATGCATTTTATTTCAAGTTTTTGACTACTGACTACTGAAGTAAAGCAGGGGTGCAAACTTGTCACCTTTTTATGAAGTTCGCTGTTTTAGTTATGAAATGGGTCATTGAAGTGAATTGTGTAGATCTTTGACCTATTTCATCCCCGATGAACTTGCACTCCTGGCAAAGTATGTGCAATGACTAGGCCCACACAGAATCTGCACGCTCAGAAATCTGCAGATTTTTAGCCCATCATTGAGTCTGTTATTATTTGTGCAAATGTGTGTAAATTAAAATTTATTCAGTTTTTAAATAAATTTCAGTAATATTATTGACTGATATGAAAATGTTCATTTTATTTATTCACAATACAGTTTGTAAAGACAAATAGGTGGATCTTATTGTATTTGCTTTGTTAACATTAAAGTTAAAGAGGCGTTATTTTTTATTTCATTTTAAGCTTTTAGTTATGATACTCCCAAAATCATTCCGCAAAAAATCTGCAGATTTTTTTCACAATTCTCTGCAGAATTAGCAAAAAATGTTGGCAGATTCTGTCTGGCCCTAGTAATGACTCTTAATTAGTTCAGTGCAAAGATTTTTTATGAATAAAACTAATAGAAAGTGATCTGGCAAGTCATCAAGGATGCAAATAGAAAAAGTTCATGAAAACCTGTAGGAGCATACTTGTAGCAAGTTAAATTAAGCATCTTCCGAACCACTGACAAAATAATAGTCTTCCAACAAACATGCAAAAACAAACAAAAAAAAACGCCTTACTTAACTTCAGTTATTAACACTGTCACTTTAATTATAAAAAAGTCCAGTCATGCAACTTTTATAATAATGAGATGGCATGGGATGGTAACCGGTTTCAAGGTGTACCGTGGTTTGGAAAAGTCAAAGTTTTAAAACTGCAAAAAAATCTGTTATACTGTTCCTAAGGTATGTAAAGTTTTTTATTTTATTTTTTATATGTCATAAAGAAATCAGTGGTTTGTAAACTAATGAACCATGCAGGTCAATGATTTGCTTTATTATTTAGCCTGAAATGTTTACTGCTTTAAAATTTTGTAAATGTAAATTGTAAATTGATCAATTTTCAAATGAAATAATGTATATAATGTGTTCAATTTAGAAAAAAAAAGTTTTTTCTTTTTTTACTTAGACGTTTAAAAAGAACTTACTTTAGAGCAGTAATCACAAAACCATGATATTGTGAAACCGTGGTATTTTTATACAAGGTTATCATACCTTCACAAACTTATACTGGCCCATGTCTAAATGAGATCTAACAATACCTCAATACCTGAGCTTGTTTGCTTGGTCATGTCCACATGGTTTTTGTTAAAATAAAATGTTTTCTCTCTGTTTTGGCTTTTCGTTAACAGTGAGATGGTGTTTTTATAGGCAATGAAATTGCAACTTTTTGTTAGCACTCTTCAAAATAGATCAATTTTTAAATGACCTTGTGACTTTTGAAAATGATGCATTTTTATGCATTTGACCAATTCAGCTTTAATAGTGGACAGCATTGTATGGCAGTTACTTTTTTATGTTTTCCGCTTTGACAGCATTGTTAGTTTTATTGCTGCATCCTACTTTATATTATGTCCTAAAAGAGTGTACTTTTTTGTGAAGAAAAAGTACTTTAAAATAGTTTACAGAAAAGTATGCAAGCTTTGAGAAACTTTCTCATTAACGGACAATCATGCTGCTTAGTTATGTGCCCTATCAATCATTTCAACACATCATCCACATTTCTTTCACATTTAATTACTAACTTTATTTTAGATTTCAGCAGCAGGTTAATCTGCCATTCGCGAGTCTTTCATGCAGAAAAATCTCCTCAGGTCTTTGGATAATTGTGTATTCAGAAGGTAATGTCCAAACACGTCTTCATAGAAGTTCTTATAGATTTTGCAGATGAAATATAATGAAAAACGTTATTTAAATATTTCCCAGTTGACTAGATATGAATTAATAGACATTCAATCACTTTTATCAAACCCTCTTTGCTTGACAGTTGGTATTGTGTGTCCGCCATGTTTGTAGTTTGCAGAGGTGTAAAGAGTACCTGAAAACCACATTTGAGTAAAAGTACTGATACCTTACTGAAAAAATTACTCCATTACAAGTTACAAGTCGCCAATTCCAATAAGACTTGAGTAAAAGTTTTAAAGTATCCAATTTTAAAAGAACTTAAGTACTTTACTCATACTGAATGTAGGCTCTAAGATCACCAAGAAAGGTTTTATTTCGTAATATAGAAATTAATTTAACACCTCAATGTTTTAAAAATGGCAGAAGAAAATATATTTAAAAAATAGAACAAAAGGCCTGAGTCAAACTCAAAAGTTTGAAAAAGGCACAAAGAATTTTTCCAAAAAAAAAAAACGTATTAAAAAATTATTCAGAGCTGACTTTCATGTGATCCCCTCTCAGTCTCACAGGGGGGCAATATTTTTATTTTGAGTAGTTTTTCAGTTGATTAGGATGTTTCCTCTGTTTTAAAATTAAACAAGGAGGAGCTGTGTTATTTTTCAACTTAGTAAACTACGTATAAACTCAATGAAAAATACATCACAAACTCACAGCTAAATGCACCTTATGCAAAATGTACATTTTCAGCGATACATTTATTCACGTTGCACAAAAAAAAAAAAAAAAAAATTAAGCTAAAACATAGTCAAGTCATGTTGCAGTGGTTTTTGCCATATCAGTAACTCTAATAACTTTTGGTTACATGCTTACAATACCATTGTACAGTCAGACATAATTGGACTAAATTCACATTAAATTGACATTAAATAGACTTTTAGCTCAATGTGTTTTCTCAAATTTGATGATGAATTCTTATAAGTACTTATTTTTGTGGTTTGTGGCAAGCAAAGTAGACACTGCGTCCTGTAAGAGCCATTTTGTATATCGGCAAAGGAAAACATTTCTTTTAGATAAGGCCATGAATGGTCATCAGTGCTGGCACTGCTTTATGTGCCGACTTCGGCTTCATCACTGGCTGCAGCCATGTTGCTAATTAAACATCTGGTGTTAGGCAAGCTGCTAATTCATGTGATTTAGCTCATTAATAGCATATAGTACTTTAGCACCCTGCAGATGGCGATATCGCCTCGTCTGCCCTACAAATTAGCCATGGTAGATAAAGATGCCGACTTGTCGCGCACTATCACAATGTAATGAGTAACGGTAAGTTTGCGTTCAAATGTAGTGGAGTAAAGAGTACATATATTCAATCAAAAATGTAGTCAAGTAGAGAGTAAGAGTTGCTTATATTTTTAATACTCAGTACAAGTACAAAGTAGCCAAAAAATACTTAAGTAATGTATCGAAGTCCATTTACTTTAGTACTTTACACTACTG